TGTCTCCACACGTTTGTGAAGAGAAAGAGAGTGTTGAAGTTTCTTTGTCGAAGAAGCAGAATGTCATCAGCAAGTTTGACAATCAATACGAAAAGTTTGTTGGACGAGTCTATGAGATCGTCGAGAAGAACGTCGACTTCAGTAGAGTGACTGCTTTGGTAATCGCGGGGACGTTCACTGAACGAGCCGCGTTAGCCAAGAGTTTAATTGACCTTGCAAACAAACGAAGGAATTCAACATTGATAGAAGGGTTTAAGAGAATAGTTCAAGCTGCGGCCACAAATGGCATATTATTAGCTGTGAGAGATGTATTGAGTGATTCAAATATGGCTACTGTCTTAGAACAATGCAAAAGCTACAAAGACATGGAATTGGTGTCGCAATTTAATGAGTCAATGATGAGGTCAGAGCACACTGTCGCAATTGGGTATAACGACATCTTGAAAACGTTCGAGGCCGATGCTATTAAAGAACTTTTGCTCACAGATGAGATGACACGAATTTGTGGTGTTGACAAGAGGATGCAGGTATGTAGAATCATTGAGGGATTGAAAAGAAAGGGTATTGTTGTCCACATGTTATCTGGGAAGACAGAAGCTGGCTGTGAAATTATGCGACTTGGTGGTATTGTTGCCATTTTAAGGTATGAGTTAGTTATCGATGAGGATGATGGAGAATTTGCTGAAGACTATAACAGCGACGAGATCGACTGGTTTGGCAAAAATGTCCCACAAGCCATTGGAGATTACATTGAAGTTGATGAGTAGTTTATTTATTAACTCATATATTAACTAATATAAGAAATAGAAAGATCAAAACCATTTATTATATATATAGTAAATTTATAGAATGGTTAAGTGATTAATAGAATAAAAAAATTAGTAAAATAATAATAAATAAAACTATATAACCAAACTGTTATTGTTGAGAAAAAACAGAAGCGTTTTTGACAGGAAAACACCAACTCACAACACTGTTTCAAAAAAAAGATTCAAATGCAAAAAAACACAAACAAAAAGAAAAGAATGCCGAAGAGCGCGAGTGGAAAAGCTTAAATTAACATTTCAAGATGGCCCACAAAAGATGAACGTCTGGGAACTACAAAAAATAAATGGAGTTTCGTTCTATTCCTAAAGCTCTTCCAGCAGAGGACATTGGCCTTGAGAATGCAGAAAAGTTTCTGGCGGACTTTGACCACTTTTCACAACAAGAAGACAGTGAAAAGAGGACTCCTTCCATTAGAAAAATGGGAGATGCTGTCGAGTTTTTGTTAAGTCCCGAACAAACCAAAGAATTATTAACAAAAGCTATAGCACTCATTCAGAAGGAAGAAATAGCGTCAATTAAAGTGATTGCCATTCAACAAATTGTTCTTTTTGTAACCAAATGCCACGAAGGAAACATATCAGTCTATGACGAGTTATATCCATTGATGAAGGACTTGGTCATGGACGAGACAGAAGAAGTTTCTATGGCGGCAAGAAAAGTTTTAAAGAAGTTGGGAGAGTATTTGACCGATGAGTCACAAATTGAAGAGTATTTGAAATTTGTCGACGGCCTTATTGGTAATGTCGATGGCTTTATCTCGACTTCTGGACTCGATTTGTTCAACTATTACTCTGCAAAAGCACAGAAAGAATTCGTCAAAAAGTTCATCTTTGGAAGATTGAAAGCAATGACGGAGAGCGTCCAGTTTGTCATGAGAAAAGGAGCAGTCTCTGTGCTTCCCGCCGTCCTATCAAATATAGAAGAAAGTGATATCCAGACCATTCTAGAGTTGTTTGAGAAGATGTCGAGTGATTCTGTGTTTTCTGTGAGAAAGACGTGTGCTGTTGTACTCATTCAGATCTTCAAGGTCTTTGAAAATAACAAGCAGAAAGTTTTAGAGTATATTGAGAAGTTCATAGACGACGTTTGTTCTTATAATACAACAAAGGTGATCATTATAAAATAAATAACATTAAGAAATCGCGATTTGTAAGATTCCAAATCATCGCCAACTTTGGTAAGATCTGCCAATTCCTTGGGAAAGAATATGTCAGTGAAAAGATGATCACATTCTTCATATCAAATTGTGCTTCCACTTCAGACTCGGAACAACAGTACTATGGTGCTTTTTACTTTGTGACCGTCCTTCAGACTATTGGAGTTGAAAAGTGGAGTCTTTTGACATCGAGTTATGAACAGTTAGCACTCAGCGTCCACTGGAAGAATAGGAAGTGTGTAGCGTCTTCCCTTCATTTATTAGCGAATATCTTAGGCAATGAAATCACTTTGGCTTATTTGATTCCGGCCTTGGATAAGTACTTGTATGACTATGATGATATTAAACAAGTTGCTATGATGCATGTCGTCGACTTCATTCCAATATTGGGACAAGCAAGATCCGTTTCTATTCTTACGTTACTCCAAAATGCAATTAAGACTCCAGATTGGAGAATTAGAAGAACAGTTGCTAAGCAACTTGGATCATTAGCAGAATACACTCCACAATACTCACAATATGTCGAAGAGATTTGTGTGTCACTCTTGGTGGACAACGTCAACAAAGTTCGTCATGCCGCCGGAAAGGAAATGGGGAAGGTGATCAACGCTTTCTTAACAAATGGATATGTCGGTGCCTCGGCATTGATCCAGAAGTTCACTGATATGGCGTCGTCACCTATTAAAGTCCGCAGAGTCGATTTTGTCACCGTTGCTACGGCTCTTTTCTTGACATTGCCACCAGACCAATTCAACCCATACATTCTCCCATCTTTTGACTTGGCAAGTAAGGACAAGGTGAGTTGTGTGAGAGTTGCTGTTGCGACAAACATTAAAAAGGTGATGGAGAAGAGTAAAAACTACGGAGAAGAGATCAAGGCGATTGCTAAGAGACTAGAAGAGGACGAAGACTCTGATGTCAGATGCATTATTAAAAATGGTGAATTGAACTTGTTCAAGAGAAAGAAACAGTCCAATAAAGTTGTAGAGGATCCGTCTGCGTTTGTCGAGACTTTCGAAGGGTTTGGGAGAAAGTAAATGAACTCTTCATTCTTCTTAAGTTGCAGTAAATCTTATACATAAACTAATTTATTTAGTTTATTAACTAAATTATAAATAAGCAGTTAATTTAAATACCTCAAAATACTCACCAAGTTCAAAGCAATAAAGTGGATATGGCAAATAGAAGAGCGAGAATAGAGAGCGACGAGCAAGCTTCTTTTGACACAAGGGAATATTCATTTGAGTCTGAGACTGCAACAATGTCTTTTTTGAACATAATGTTGTTGAAGTAGACAAATGTCTTTTTTTGCTCGAATTGGTGATACAACTGAATTGAAACATATTTGGTTTCCTCTTTGCACTGATTTGGAAATTCTTCTGAGGAAAGTTGAACACATGTCTCTTGTTTGTTATAAGCTCGTGTTATCAAACCACTGTTTGACTCGTCGTCTCCTCTGAAATTGTATGGAAGAAGTCGCACTTTGAGTTTAACAAACTCATCAGAGGAATTGTACTGCATGTTGAAACACAACAGATCGAAGTTCGTCGTGTTTTCGTCGCCATTGAATTTTAAGACATCAAACTGCTGCATCATACCACCTATCCACTTCTTTCCATCATCCAGAACGTATTCATAATAATTGATGAGTGCCGAATCATTGATCTTCCAGTTGTAAATACCATCTGAATAGATCACTTCTTGTGCAAGTGATGTGCTTAAGAGTAACAATACAATGAACATCTTTGTGATATCTAGTTGTACTAAATGCCCTTATATACTCTATTCGTGACTTTACCACTTCAAACTGCTTTATTACTTTCTTCTTTGGTTTAGTAAATTTTGTTATACTTTTATTTAAATTCAATAATTCTTTTTCGTTACTAAAAAATAGAGTCTACCATTCTCTTTGCAAATTCCCTTTTTACCACGTATACATTCTAAAAATACGTTTAATTAAAAGTATAGTTTAACTAACAATAAAGAAATAGTAAAGTCAAAAACATGATTAAACTTGTTCAACAAGTGGGTGGAGGCTTTGGCTTTTCGAGCCTTCGGAAGACAAAGAAGATGTTGAAGTTGTGTTCTTCAGACTGCCATCATCTGTTTTACCATCTTTGTACCCTTTTCTTGATTTTTTCTTATTTGTGTTCATCACTCCTCTGATATTTTCGCCCCAAGACTCTATTGTATTCACGACATCCAAAAATTTGGGTCTGTCCTCTTGGCTTTGTGACCAACTCTTTGACATCAAGTCCCAGTAATTGTCTGGACAACCCTCCGGTTTTTCAAGTCGATTTCCTTCAATAACAAATTGTGGGATCATCCACGGTTGGTTAAATCGTGGATCGGTACTGTCATACGCAGTTCTTTGGCAATAGGTCTCATACATCATTACACCGTATGAGTAGACATCACTTGGGTATCCATACCCCTCAGTCCCTCTCAAACATTCCGGACTCATATAGTTAGGTGTTCCAATACCTTGTGTGAGCGCTTTAGCACTTAAGCTTCGTTCGGAGATGTTTCTGCACGTACCAAAATCAGTAAGTTTCCCACACACCGTTGAGAACTGATTCAGAGAAAAGACTAAGACGTTTTCACCTTTGACGTCTCGATGAATGATTTGGTTCTGGTGGAGGTATGACAACGCAAATGCGACGTCTTCTAATATCTTCACTTTCAGTAAATAAGAGACGTCGTGCTTCCCCCATATTCGACTCAATGAACCATACTCCGCAAACTCGGTCACGATTGCTATTTCTCCTTCAGTGTAAACAGCTCCAATTAACTCAACAACACATGTATGACGCAATTGTGTCAACATCGACACTTCATGATTAAACTCCTTTTCAAGTTCCTCAGTCAAACTCCTCGACTTCATCTTCTTAATGGCGACATCACGAGTGCGGTATGTTCCTCTAAAAACCATTCCAAACGCACCTTCGCCAATAGCTGGTAACATTGGCTTCAACTCGGTGTGGTCCAGTTTGAGTGATAAGTCAGACTCGACTATAATAGTAAATTTGGCAGTCTCTTTTGTTTGTTCGTGGACGTCCATTGCTGTGATTCCAATAACATCGGACACCGAAGCAGTGCATGCCATTTTGATCTTGACAGAAATACAAATCGCTGTTCGTGGATTCAGAGTTGCGTTGATGGGGTCAATAGTCAATTCATAGCGATGACTTGGTGTGAAGTGGAACTCGAAGAAATACTGTTTGTTTGTCGTGTTTGCGATATTCACGATTTCCTCGTATATCTGGTCGACAACTGCTTTGTTCTTTTTAAGACCAAATGTCAATTCCCATTTATCCGTTTTCAAAGGGAAGTTCTTGTTATCTGCACCAAGAAGTAATAATTCCAAGTCTGAAGTAACTTTGAACGGCTTAATGGCATCATTCTCTTCATTTATTTTCCTGACTCTTCTCCTCCAAAAGATCCAGACAATACCAATGATGATAATACCTATTATTATAACTCCAAACACAACAAGAGGGACTATAAGAGCTATGTTGACTTTAGAACACGAAACCTCCCCTGAATCTAATGAATACCCATCCTCACATTCAGAGCACTTGTCTTCAGAACACTTTGCACAGTGACTTAATTCTTTACAAGGAGCACATCCACCATTTTTTACATATTGGGTATCATCCAAACATGACGTACAATACGGTTTACTCACAGACTCTACCCATTGACACGTTTTACAAATAGAAGGACATTCAGAACAGTTGTACTGCTTTGGATCATTCACATTGATATAATAGCCAGGAAAACACGCCTCACATCCACTTGTACCACTCTTGCACGTCATGCTGATTTCACTTTGGCTCTTACAAAGCATAAACTGTGAATCATTTGCCCACTCCTTTGGACGGAAATAGCCCGGTGCACACGTCAAACACTCAACACTTCTTTCGCACGTCCCACACGATACATCACACTTGGTGCAGTCTTGGTCGTCATCAACTCCTCCACCAATGAAAAATCCTTCAATACAAGATGTGCAGTATCCCATATCTATCTCATTAATACACCACTTTTAAAGTTATCAACAAACCCGTTTTAGTGCAATTCTCACTTTTAAGAACGCAAATTTTGTGCGTAACACCATCGGTCACTTGCTTTTTCAAGACATAGTCTTGAACACAAGCAGTGCAATGATCTTTGTAATCTTCACATAGTCTGCATTTGTCGAGGCACAATTCACACTCTTGCTTGCCAAGAGGAACAAAGTATCCCGTTGATGTGACGTCAGCAGTGATATCATTAGCACACTCTTTACATCCGGCTTGGTCTGTTAATTGGCAATTGATGTCTTTCGGAATGCACGTCATGTTACTATCGAAATAGTACCCTGTTTTACACGACAGGCAATGAGTCTTTTCATTCACACATGTGGCACAAACATCGTCGCATTGTTCACACTTCTTATCGGAATTGAAAAAGTACCCTTCGACACATTCAAGACACCCCAACTCAGCAGAACCTTCTTTACAGTTCTGAGACTCAAGAGTTTTACATAAATCGCCCACTTTAATGTATCCTTGACGACACGAAACACATTTGAAACTTTGTCCAATGAAATAACCAGACCAACAGTTAAGAACGTAACTCTCGCAACTTAAACAATACGGACTAATAAGAACATACCCAGGAAGACACATTTCACAGTGGTCTTCCATTGTGTACGCCGGTTCACAGTTTTCAATGGGAACACATTTCTGGCTTTTCGCATATGTTTTATTCACACATTGTTTGCAGACCAACGACTCATCGCAGATCGCGCAGTTATCGTTACATTTTTCACATTGCGAAGATTTGGTTTTGAAAACTTGGCCTTCTGGGCATCGACCGCAATCAATGTCGTTCGAGGAAAGAGAACAGTCAACGCACTTCGTTTGGTCAAGAGAGAGAAAATATGTAACTGCACTGTCGGTCTTACATGACAAACAGTGTGTGGCGTTACACGTTTCACAATTCGAAAGACACTCTTTACATTCGTTGGATTGAAGATAATACCCCTTTTCACATCGAATACAAATTGCAGGGTTATTCGGATCATTTTCTAAACAGTACTGGACTTCGACGTCCGGGAAACATGAAATGTCGGGAACACGAGAACTGGAATCGTACACCAATTGGGTGTGGCACGACACAGAACATTTTATACAATGATGGGAGGAAATCTGGTCTTCACACCTGCACTCATTTCCTTCATACTTCAATGCGGTGATGCAGTGAAGTATAATAAACAGGGTTATTATAATCCCCATTGTAATTATTCAGTTTCCAAAAATCATATTTTGTTCGTTTTTTTCGTCTTATTACAAAAATAAAGAAATTATTGGTCGATTTTTGTTTTTTTCAAAATTTATAATAATAATAATAATAAAATTAATTAAAGAATTATTAAACATATGCTAAAAACAAAATTCAGTTTTTGAACAGACCGTTTATATGTTTGAATTAAATTAACAAAATACAAGTTCAATTACAACAAAGCAAGAACTCCAAGGAATGCTACAAGGGCAACACCAGTAACTCCACTTGTGCACACAAATGTAATTGGCTCGAAATGGACTTTCTCACAAGGTTCAACACTGGTCGAAGGCTCTTTACTATTTTCTTCTTCAGATTTTGCATTGCTTTTCACAATGGACTCTTCCTTTGACTCTTCAATGCTTATCTCAACTGAGTTGACCACACTTTCCACTGACTTGATAACACTCTCTTCGACAGATTTCACAACACTCTCCTCAACTGATTTGACTGTGGACTCCTCGTCGTTGATTGACAATTCAAGATCAACAGAAACAAATTCGTTTGATGTCGACAATTTCACTTCTCTGATTGAGACAGTAAGGTCGTCGTTTGAATCTGGGTCGTTGAGTGAAAGAATGATTTTCTGGGTGGAGTTAACGGTTATTGGAATAGTGACCTTGTTTTCTACTCCGGAAATCCCGATGAAAGTGTTGGTCATGTTGGCGATATACTCCACGCCGTCTTGGTAAGTTGTATCTTCCACATTAAGTGTAAATGTGACTGGGGCATTGTCTTTGCTTTCAAATACCATATAGAATTGGAGTGTTGTGTATTTCTTTACATCTGTGGTAAAGTCGTTGACAAACTGTATTGATTCTTTGATGGATCCATTAATGTACTCGAGTCCATTGACCTTGACAATTCCCACATTTCCATCAGTTGAGTTGATGTGCCACCCTTCCTCAAACTTTCCCTCTTTGATGAGATAGGACTCTTCAGATCTTGCAAAGCAAGCAATGAGAAGTAACACAAGCGCGTTCATTTTTGATGTTCTTCCTCATTTTTTCTGGTGTCAAATACGCCCCCATTCCAATCTAACTTGTCACTCTTCTCAAATCTAATCCACTCACTTCTCATTTTGTTATAAATAATTTCCAAGTTTTTTAAAATGATTTTTTTATTGTTTTTGTTGCTAATAACAAAATAACTTTATAATATACAGAGAGAGTAATTAATGAATGACAAGAATTAATTGGGTGACAGATTAATTTTAAGTAATTTAATAAGTCTTTTATAGAAATTGTTATTTTGTGTAAAAAAAATAAATAAAAAACCAAATCCCACTTTTTTACATCATTTAATGCCAATTTTTTTCTTCCATTTGTAATAACTTTTTTAATTCTTTGAACAAGAAATAAAAAGAGTTAACCAATATTATAATATACAAATAACAATAATTCTTATTGTGAATGTCATGTTTTTTTTTCAAAAAGGTATTTGAGAGGTCTTTGATAATAAAAGACTTATGTTGAAGTTTAACTTGAAAAAGAAAAAAAATCAAATATGCTATAACAATAGTGTATTATATAACAAATTGTAGTTTTAAAAATAATCACAAAAATAACAAACAACAAATTCTAATAAAAGGTCAATAACTATAAGTATAAAATAAACAAAATAAAAAGCATATTTTTTGGTTTTTAAATCATACAATTGCTATTTGTAAAATAATGATTTAGTAATTTTTTATTATTTCTTATTGTAAAAAAAAATCAATTGTTGCACAAATAGGTACAAGTAAAATATTTGAAAGAACATCAAAGACAAAAATGGGTAATTACTCGACAAATTTTGTATTGACCCGCTTATTAAATAACAACTTATTTTGCCACAACTAAAAAGTTGTAGTCAAGCGTCCCAAAACTTTTTTCAGTCGGATACATCCACGAAAAATCGCCGAAAATCCGGAGTATATAAGAACCAAAAAGGGAGGAAATTCAACGTATTAATAGTATTTAAATTACGAAAGTATAGAAAATGGTGAGAGGTAAACTGAAGTGAAACGAAGAGATGAATAAAAAGACATAACAGAATACATTCAGAATATTACAAGTTTCTATTCCAGCTGATTCCTTCGATGAACGATGAGCTTTGAGAATTAGCGGAAGACCCGGAGTCGTCGACGAAAGGCGCGGAAGAACGTTCGAAGGGTGCAGGAGCGCCAGTCCGTTGAGGGAACTTTGGTTGGTCTTGGAGGTAGTCATCGATGATCATCATGTCAGAAGATCCCGCGTACGAAGTCGAAGTCGAGTCGATTGAGATTTGGACGGTTGGAATTGGTTGAGAGATAGGGATCGGCTGGTTGCAGACAAATTGCATTGAATACACCAAGTTCTAAGTCTTTTTATAAAACATTTTTTGCTTTATATCCGTTTCCTGAATTCAAAGAACATAAAGGCGACATCTGTTTCGGCATTTCTCACTTTTTTTTACTTAATCGTTAGTTTTTCTATTAATTTTACCTAATCTTAATTAGTGGAGGAAAGATCGGGATATAATTGCCGGGAATGTTCGACGACGATCTATTTTGGAACGGCATTTCAAATTCGAAAAAAAACTCTCTTTTGTATTTTTTTGTGGTATAAAAATAGAAGGCGTTTCATGTTTTTTCACAAAAATGGAAAATCTGTGAAGAAGGCCGAAATCAACCGAAGGATGGGATTTTTCGAACACCAAAAAAGAATGAGGAGAAAAATGGGGAAAGTGGAATTATTTAGAAGTAGTCAGCTTTTTGTCTGTATTTTCGGGAAAACTCTTCTAAATCAAAGAAGTTATGTTATATTTTAATTATCGACCTATTTTTATATTTGTTATTTTAAGGAATTAACCCGAAATGACAGGTATATTATTGTAGTCGATATGGAAAAACAAAAAGAACTGCCAGTCTCATTTTATATGCAAATTCCTTCAATTCAAGATGTTTTAAAATGACAAAAATGCAACACAAAAACAAATTTATATTTTTATTTACCAGTTGTTGTGATTATAATAGAATTTTTAATAAAATATGACCAAAAAATAGTAATTTAATAGATAAATAAAATTGCGTATTATGTTGCAAACTTTTTGTTTTTGTTCTGTCAAATAAAAAATTTGTTTGCATTTTTTTCGGGCAGTTGTTTGTTCAATTTTTATTGATTTACGTCGAACAATCTTTTCAAATCACTCAGTCTTTTTCTATTTTTTGGAATTTTTATAAAACAATTCACTTTCTTATTATGTCCAACAAAACCACTTTCAATTTTGGGGATTGTTTAAAAATAGAATTTTAAAGTAAATTTAACTATTTAATAATCAAATATATTATACTACAATTTAATGTAACTTTATATATAAAATAATTATATTATTTTGTCATGAAAAATAATTTATTTTTTATATAGAGTCAGTCGGATAACGTTGTTCAGTCCCCAGACGTTGTTCGGCTCGGAATCTTCTTTTATTGATCTAAACATTTCCATCAACCCCCAAACAAATTATCACACAAAAATGTTATTTCTTTAGAAAAATGTTTTTTTTGTAATTTTTTATAATTTTTTGGAACTTGTAAACAACTAAAAACAATTTTTCATTCAATTTGAGTTCTCTTGATATTGATTTCAACATCAACCGTTTTTCGATTACACCGCCAAAATGACGCTCTCGAGAAGAGAGCAACCCAAAGGCGAGTAACCGCATTTGATTCTATTAAAACAGAAAAGGAAGAATAGCACAATAGCAGTTTGTCAGTTTTGGCTCGAGTAACAAGACTTCATTAGACAACAATGAGCACCAGAATATAATGATTTAATTGGCTATTTGTAAACACAAGATTGAAATAGATAAAATAACAGACTTATGGAAAGACTATGTTTTGTGGGTGGCTTAAAATTTTTAGTTTGACCTTTTTATCAGGGTTAAGAACGTTATAATATATGATATGGTTATTTTATTATATTTTTTTATTACCTTTATTTGTTATTAAAACAAACATAATAATAACCAATTTTTATAGCTTTTGTTTAACAATTAACATAACAACCATATTAATTTAGTAAAAAAAACTATTTTTTATAACAATTTATATATTATTTCTATAGTTTTATATCATTTTATCAATACATTTTTGATTAAAAACTTGTTAATTATTTCTTGTCAACTTTTCTAAACAATTCAAGACTAACTCTCTTCGGTTTGTAAAGCTCAATACCATGTTTACTGTATAAAGTAGAGTTCTCTGAAGATCTGGCTTCATCTCTTAATCGTTTAAAGACTTTTCTGTTGATTGATTCTTCATTCTCGTTCTCTTCAATCATGAGACTATTTTGGCATTGAAAAATTTCTTCTTCAGTAAAAAACCAATTAATCTTCGTACAAGATTTCCTAACTACTTCACACACTACAT